TATATATATATATATATATAATTTAGTCGATGAAGTTTTTATGATAACAACAATAATGATTGTGATGATGATAGGAAAGTGGTGATAATGATGATTTGGAGTTATAATGGAATTGAATTGTCCCAAACATAAACAAAGATTTTTTTTACATCACATCAACTCATTATGTGCCATTCAACATTGTCAATTATGATGTTATTCTTTTTCTTCATTTTTATTTTTTTTTTCTCATATGCATATTTCTAATTTTTATTCTCGTGTCGCACAGTGAATATTTTTATTTTTATTTTTATTTTATGTTATCCCATCCGGATAATCTATTTTAAATGAATGTCTGGATGAATCATATTTTTATAAATTTAAAATATGATCCATTTTCTACTTATCCGTCCGATACGGTATGATATTTCCATTAACACCGTTATAAAGGGTAAGGATAGAAATCAAATTTCTATCTAGGTTGTTTTTTTTTATAATAGAATATTTGGTTTTCTATGAAAGTCTCCTAAAACATTATTTCTATGAATTAAGATATATTTTCAATTAAATATATTTCATGATCTTTCAACCACAGAGAGAGCAAGTCAAAAAGGTGTACTACACCAAAATAAATATGCATTGTACTGATCCCATTTCCTCTGACTATTTTTTAGGTCCCCATTGTTCATGTCTCCAAGTCTGCCAACCAACTCTGTCATCTTCATGCTTTTCTAAAAGTTTCTCTCAGTAAGAAGAAGCAAAGCAGACCTCTATTTATAATTCAGGCCAACTGAACATTGTTCTGATCTTTCAGCAAAACCAATGTTGTGCCACAGTGATCATATCTCTCCTCTTTTCTCTCCTACCAAAAGAGCTGAAGTCACACCAACATCTTCTAATCCTAACAACAAATCCAATCATTAAGAATTCTTTTGTAAATCTGAAAAATATATGCTTTGATACAATAGATATTATGAGAGTTTTTTACAAAGTCAATAACTTCACATTAGTATGATCTGAAAAGCTTCATGCTTCTCTCAGTAGCTTCATTCTTCTCATTGCCAACTTTATCCGAGCTTTATCATCGAAAACCCAGCAAAGCTTGAGTTATGTATAATAGCTACATTCCTTTATCGATCAACAGCAACATATGGAACAGAAAGAACATTGTTTGTCTCACTCATTCTACCAAAAATTCCTACACTCTTTTGTCAGAATAACTCTAAATGAAAAATTGAAACTATAATAACACCCATCTTGTTCGGAGTGGCTGACATCCCCCAAGAGTTCTTTGGGTCGATTTCGTCATTCCTTTTATTCGAGCATCTTGCTTGATCAAGTCGATAAATTGTCACACAATGAGAATTCTTGGTTTTCCAAAAATGAAAAAAGCTGGTTAAGTTGATTGTTAGTAGCTTAATTATTGAGGAATTGAAATCTTGAAGTCGTCTCTTGACTGGTTGTTCAGCAACAAACTCGGTTTTCCCTGGCAGATGGACAAGCAGACAGTGCCGAAGGTTTAATAGGAAATAGTACTAATTTCAGAAACAAGTTCAAATGGAAAGGAAAAGCAATTACCTTAGAGTTAATTTCTGAGAAGTGGCTATTCCCTAGTTGCTGCTGCAAGACATGGTTAACAACACAACATCAATTTTGTTCAGATTGTAGATCTAAAGAATTCATATGCCAAATGCAGTTCAACATTTTCACAAAAAAAAAAAATTTGTCAAACAGTTACGGGTTGATATGGTGTCAAAACATAGATCCAAAAGAATTTTAAGTACCGAAGTATTGGTAATTGTTTAAACAAAATATAGGCACCTGCTTTCATTGATCGATGCCGAGTCAGCAAAAAATGTTAGGTTCATTTTTGGGATCAATAGATGCAAAACAACCTGCACTGACGGGAAAGGGAATAAATAATTACAAGTGATCAAAATGCATGATCGTTCAAAAGGTCAAAAGAAAAAGGTTATGGTGTGGCAGAAGAAAGAAGATATTGGACCTTAATTCCATCCGGAAATCTTCAGCCACATCAGTAGAAACTGAGTTCTGTGTAACCATGCGAGTAGGGCAAGAGTTCCTCCACCTCTATCCGAGAGCTAGAACAACCCATGTTTTTCTTAATCCGGTTGTGATTGATTATTTCAACCTTTGCAGTAAAAGTACCGTATACAGGTCTGTGGTCGGAGAATCTAGACTCCCCACGTACATAAGACAACTGAGTAAGACCTCTACCATACCATAAAATCCGGTCACACCTTCAACCAAAAAGGAGATACCAATCAGCTTCAACAATTTGATGACAAACAAAAAAATAAAACCAAAATAGTCGGTTTAAGAAACCATCTATAATGAAGAAAACAGAGTGGGAGGAACTTTTAGCTAAAGATATGATTTAATATTCTACCATGCAGGTGTCCGCCGTTTCTCTTTTCTGTGCATGTCATCCCCTGTGTATCTATCAGAGTTGTTCGAGTATTTATAGGTGGGAGGAAAACATATCCTTCCTTCTTTCCATCCCTCAAAAACACGGCCACATCTTTGCTCCATTCGAAGCTGTTTCAGAAAAAAAAAAAAATTTAGAGATTTCGACTAGCAATTTTAGAATACATAACAAGGAATAGAAGAATCAACACTTTCAAGGCCACAAGGGATCTTTATCCCTTCTTATAGAGAGAATCTAAAAGGCATCAGATTCTTAATACCTCAAATGATCTTCATATCCTTGAAGTTATTCTAATGTGTTGTGTACAAAATCAAGAGATAACTGATAGTAAATCTAATGCTTATATAGCACTTATGAAAGAATTGGTAAATCACCTGATCTTTTTCCAACAAAGCTCTCCAGTTGTGCATCTCAACTAAAGCCTTTGCGGACTGATATGAAAGAGCGATGCGGTAATTTAAATCACCAAGCCATATGATACGACTGACATTAAAAATAGAATGAGATTATGCTTAACATAAATGTTTGCTATTTTTTGCCCGTATGAGAAAAACATGATTGAACAATAGCAAGTTGTAAATATTGGGCTTACTCATGATCGAGAATTGTTTCACGAGTCTTCTCATCACATGCCTTTTGCACCCGAGGAAACCTCGTCTTTTTTAAAATCTCCATCACATCTAAGTTCCTCCGTGCTTCATCCCCCTCTTTCTGTCCTGAGGTCAAATGACTACAGATGAAGCAGAAGCTTGTTTGGTGCAAAGTCATGCTAATTGATATTGAACCCTGGAAAGAGCCAAAAAAAGATTGCCTTTGTATTCAGGAAGAGCACACAGAAGAGAAATTGTAAACATGTATTTGCAAAAGAACAAAAGACTTCCTTGTGTCACAAATAAGGCACGAAAAACAAGAATCTGTTGCTAACTTGTGCAGTACGACATGATAAAATAAGTGAAATGGGGGATTCTTCAATTGTTTGCAAAGTTAAGTTTGCAAGAGCTGATAATACAGAGGATATTTGCCAGAAATCAGGGTACTTTAGAAAAACAGTATGACTACCTTATTTCCAAGACAACCCATCAGTCCCCTTCCAACACAAGAAACCTTCAAGTTCTGTACATCACCCCTAATTTCACTTCGCACCCACACTGTTAGAAATATGCCAACCATCTGCTTACTGGCAACCAAGCAATACCTAGAACTGTGACAAGTTATAATTCTGAATTTCTGAAATATTTTAGACATATACCAATGAGGCAGAACCAAATGGAATTAATGAAATAAATCTTAGGAAAGGAGTACCTAGTGTGGGATGATGATCTATTTCTTTCTCCCATATATTGCGGAGCACCATAAGCATATGACGACGGTGAGAAAATTCCAGCAGAAGGAGATTGTTCCCCAACTTTCTCATCATCAGATGAATCTCCACATCTAAAATTTGAATCAAAATCACTTGGCCTGCTCCCAGTGCTTACTCGGTCACAAACACTGAAACGGCGATCCAGCCTTGGATGCAGTTCCATGATATCGCCATTAATTCGTAAACTACGACTCATGGAATGGAATGAATGTCGGTGGAAGTATGATGAATTGTGTTGCCTCACTGAGGAACCCTCAAAATCAGCATCTAGCTCCACAAGTGGATCAGGAACTGGGGACGGTGTGCTATAGCTGCCACATCCATGTGTTCCAGGAAGGGTGTTCAGTGTCCTTCTAATGAGTGTCAACCATTTCTTTGCTGGACCATTGTCTTCTGCACCAAGAACATTTCCGGCATTGAGAGGAACAATCTCTTGAAATCTGGAAATACAGAAAGAAATGGCTCATCAAGTTTGTAATGCTAAACCATGTGTCCATATACATGTTCCTCAAAAATCGTAAAACCCATAGGAGAGTGAAGAAACCAACCCCAAAACGTATATGTCTGCAGGAGGTGAGGCATGAAGCCATTCCTCAAGATTCAAATTTTTTGGTGGAGATTTTCCACCTACATTCCATGTCGACACAAAAATTCTAGAAACACAAAAGTTAAGAATCACAATCATATCGGAGGCCATTGAGTAATTGCTAGCAAATATAAATTACCTATAGTCGTGAACGTCAGTAGCTTGAGCCAAATCAACATCAGATCTTCTTCGTCGGGCTCGATCCATATTCTTCTTGTTCATTTGCTCTGAGGGCCAACAAAACAAAGCAAACGGCTATTTAGTTGTGGTCCAACTTAGTATAAGATCTACTAATGTCTTACCTGTTCTGCTCTTTTTCACCGTGCATGCCTCACTCTCTGCAGAACCCATCCTCCATTCCCTATCGTCTCCTGACAGAACACACAGAATAATCAATAAAGAAAAAGAAAAAAAAATATCATTTGTGTACCTATGATACTATGAATTTTTATGAGTTATACACAGCTAGGATATGTAGACTGCAAAGTATATCAAGAGGATAATACTTCGATTGCAAGAAGAACCAGTGAGGGAAAGCCTATCAATCAGCAAGATATATGACATATCAAGTTCATGGAGTAGAGGTCTCTGGTCCAGAACACCAATTGAGAACAACACACACATAACTCGGACTATGTCTGAAAAATTAACTGTTATAGGAAGAGAAGCAATCAGACGTACCTCTTCCAACAACAACATCATCATCCGCATGGAAGTCCTGAGATTTGTTCTTGATGTTGAACCATTTTCTAACCAGGGATTTGGACCATGAAAACTACAACAAAATAAGAGAACAAATCAGGGCTAAATCAGCAATCTTTAAGACAAAGAAAGAGGAACAACGATAAAAATTGAATCTTTTCTGCAGTAGAACCTTGCTTTTCTTCGAGTTCTCATCTCTCATCGTTTCAGCACTCCTTCATGCAGCCACCGATCGACGATTCCCCTCCACCACCTACAAGTCTTCAGGAGCCTCGGCCTTACTGGGAACCCAATCGAGAAGAGCGGCAAAAGCCGGCGCTTTCACTGAGCACTACTTGAGAAAAGACGAAGACCAAGGACGAAACAATCCCACTTCCGATATCCGACGCAACGATTCGAAAGATTTTTCCCACAGTGATGGATCAGCAAACTAAGAAGCCGCAAAAAAGCGACAAAGCCTGCAATCTCCCTCTATTGAGGTACATTACTCCAGGGTTACGTGCAGCAAACAACAAAGAAGTGAGCAGGAACCTAACCGGCCACTTCAAACCAAAGCCCAAGGAGAGGAAAAACCTCTCCTTTCTCAGATGGGGCTTCGATCTGAAACCTCCGGCTACAGGCCAAACGCAATGGAGCGAGAAAGATCAAATCTTGGACAAAGAAACATCAATTTCGGCGCTAAACGGAAGGAAAAGAGAGCAATGGAGGACAGGAATAAAGCGAAGAGAAATGATCTTTCTTTCTCACTTATGTAGACTGCCTTCCACCTCTCTCGCTCTCTCTCTCTCTCTCTCTCTTCCCCCACTTCTCTAAGACTGTAGAGGCCTTTGCTCGCCCAAAATCCAGAAGAGTATTGCTTCACAGAGAGAAACAAAGGAAATATAGATTGTAGAACATGAAAAGAACAAGAAAACAAATGTTAGGCCGGCCTCGCCACCTTTCAGAATCTGCTCTTCTGCATCCCCAAACCCCGTCTGCAGTTGGTCTTATCTACCCTTCCTTCTCTTTGGGATGCAAGAGAGAAAAAATAGCGGAGAAGAAACATCAAAAGACAGAAACTTGTCAGAGAGAGCGAGAGAGAGAGACTGTTGCTTTGGCTGCTAGAGATCTGTTTCTAATGGGCAAATGTGCTTAGATGGGTAGAACTGTGGAACCATGGGCGGAAAGGGTCGAGAGGGAGAGAGAAAAACGAGTGTGTTCAGAAGCTGCTACCTCTGCAGCTAAAACTTCGACATATATGGGCAGAATGTGTCTAAATTCGCCCTTTTCTGACTCTGCTTTGTCCCATTATTTCTTCCAATACATTGTAACCATGGTTGCAATGCTTCGCATGCACTGTGTTCTTTCAGCAGAGTAGTAATCTACAAGGGAGAGGAATGTTCGAAGCTGTGGATGAGTTCCAGTAGGGATTTAGGCACCATAGCCATCGAGTGGCCCTGCAATCCCAGTGGGTGTTGGGCTGTCATCATGTGTTACCTCGGACTCTCTCTCTCTCTCTCTCTCTCTCTCTCTCTCTCTACAGCTTGAGCTTACTGTATGGCTGTAAATGTTGGATGTCAATCGGCGACAGGATATGGTGTTCATGGTTTGCGTTTTAGAGTCCTGCCCGGCGGCATGTTTTAGCACCATAAAAGCCACACAATAATGCATGCGTTAGTGTCTTTGCTTTGGACCACTTTGGAATGCCAAGCGGAAGAAGAAGACGACTCCAAGCTATCTATCTACTTTTCCAGTCTTACACCATCCAATTTATCTTTGCTTCGATTACGTATATCGAATTTATTCGTCTAAAAATGGATGAATCTCGACGAACATTAAAAAGGATGTTGATAATTAAGTGATGTCCACGATGGCTTCGAGGAGATCATAAACTGCACCGAATCGATGGTGACAAGAAAAGGAGTAGTTGATTGGGAGGGTGGGAATCCTACCGGCAACCTCACTGCAACTAGTGAAGCTTCCACTTACATCAGGCACCAATTTTGTGCCCCGGTCATAAGATAATTTGACCTGATGACCTGCAAAAGATGGGTGACATCCTCTCACATCAGACTCATCTTGTTCTCTTTGATAGCGGGCACTGGCCTACTTTGATTTGGACATCATTGCATGCCTCTCATCACCTCCTAACACGCTGTTCCTGTGGGCCTCGGGAATCCTTTTGAGGCAATGGAAGAGGAAAAGAGAAAGGCAGCAGGAGAGAGAGAGAGAGAGAGAGAGAGTATTGGGCCCAGCTTCTGAATGCACTTGTGAAGTGGGTGTGAGAGAGACCCCTCCGCCAATCCTTCCTCCCTCCGATGAGCCCCGACTATGGGTTTTCTCTGAATGGGATCCAAGAGACAAACAAAAGCTTGGACTCGGTGAAGACATGGATATGATGATCGCATCATTCCGGCAACCAAGAAGCATGAGCTCATCTGCTGCAGGTCACTGCATTTGATGAGTCTGATTCCTCTTGCAGGCAGCTCACAGTTGTTGTTGATGTGGGTGGTGGTAAATCCAGGGATTATTAGATCAAGCTGTTTCATACTAAACCAATTCTACTACTACTGATGCTTACATCCACACATCACTTTTTAGGATCACAACATCAAATGAAGCTGTAACATGGAACTGTTGTAGATCACAAATATGGTTCTACTTGCACTGAGCAGAGTGCAAGGCAGCTGCAGATCGAGGGACTGAGTGGGTTATGACTCTATTCCTAAAGATGATGGATGGTACTGGAGTTCTACTTCTCACTTTCAAGTCACTTTTGAGTTTGGCAATGACAAAGATGTAGTCGATGAACTCACAGTTTCTTTTACCTTTCCCAAATAGAGAATCCCAAAACCTCCAACTCCACAGGATGTTCCTCATTGTTTAGCCAATGCAAGATTGAGTTGCAAGCTCCAGTATGAACTTTTTGAGTTTTGTCCTCCTTTGTATATGTTGGCAATTAATTGCCTTCCTAAATAGTTAATAACATATGTATACATTCATATCTTTCATATATATTTAGATGCACATAACTATACAGAGAGAGGAGAATTATTTGATGACAAAACTATAAGATGTCCTTAGCATAGAACACATTTTATCCTCAGCAATAGTTTCCGTACATATTTAGGAGGTGACTGATGAATCTGATGGAAGCCAAACACGAGATAGAGGAGAGCAATCCCACACGAGTAGTACAGGGACAATCGAGTTTAGGGTTGCGAGTGACAACAATGAGTCCTCTCATGAGGGTCAATGAGTGAGGTAAAGGGAGACGACGGCTAGGTTTGGGGTTGTAAGCAACAATAGCACCCTTGTGCGAGGGCCATAGGTGGTGATGATAGGTCTTCACATGAGGGGTATGGGTGGTGTGACAATAGTTATATGTAGAGCTAGTTCTCGTGCAAAGACTATAAACGATGATGATAATACTTGCACCCCCTCATTCCTCACACTAGGGTC